GGGTTTAGGTTTTAGGGTTTAGCCTGACAGGACACCCCCCAAAAAGGAACCCTTGAGAAAGGCTGTTTCAACCATGCTGCTAGGATGCCGGTTTTCACAAGGTTCTTCTTTTCAAATCCCTCAAGATGTCCACTTAGTTGAAACAGACTTCACGCTTTTCAAGATTCAGGTTTTGGGGTTCTGCGGGGCTGACAGGGAGACTGCAGGTGCCTATGTCTTACCATAATTTTGCGAGAAGTGTGTGAGGAAAGGCAAACCGAGTGCTGAAGCTCGGGCACGGCTGGTTCTGAAGCCGAGAGATGCTACATAAGTCGCGGATCCCTATGGGGGAGAAGGGTGCAAGGTACGGTTTAGGACCGAATGGGCAGGAACTCCTTTGCGCACAGAGCTAGGCAAAGGGACCATACAATAAAAAGGCCAAAAGGGTACGACCCTAAACCCTAAACCCTAAACCCTAAACCTAGCCTCAGCGCCCTGAACCTCCAAGTTTCCGGCCTATTCAGAGATGGAACGGGGATTCGAAATATACGGGGACATATCCTCCCAAGGCGCACGACCAGAATAGGCTCCAGCTGCAAGCCCCGGCCCCTTTTAACCTATTTGCTGAGTTCATAAGCACAAAAACAGCATCTACCAAGTCAAGCATACAAACAATCCAGGAACATGAACTGCACTGACATACGGCCAGGGTCGTTCTGTTGAAGCTTCTTGTTTTCTGGATCGTCCATGAGTGTTGAAGGCTCAGGACTGCACGCTGCAGGAGCACGAAGGGATTCGACGAAAGGGCGCCGCAGTGTAATATCATATCGTATCAACTATTATCATATAATAACATATGTATCATCTGATATCATACAGCATCCTGTTTTACGATCTTCATCTAACTTTATATGCTGTCAGATGGTACGATTTGATACTAGAACAGTATCATCTATACTACTGGGGCACCTTTGTCAAGGTGTAATGAGGGATCCCAAGGTCGAAAACAGGCATAAGAGTGATATCAGCCCTAAACCCTAAACCCCAAGGGGGCCTGAAGAATTTGACGGGGAGATCTGTTTTTCTTCTTTTGAGGTGGGGTGAGGCGCTTCCTGCGTTTCGGGTTGAGGGTTTCGGGCTAAGGGGGGTTGGGGGTTTAGGTTCATTTTAGGAACCCCAAGAAAAACACAGGTCACTAGCACTAACAATTCAGGCCCCTACGCCTAAACCCGGAACCCCGAAACCCTAAACCAAAAACCCTCAACCCTCCACCGGAGAAGTTCGAATCCGAAACTCGGAAGCCCGCACTTCCCCAATAAGCCAGGGAAGTAAACGTTTCAACAGGTTTTGGTTTAGGGTTTAGGATTTAGGGTTTGGGGTTTCAGATGACGACTAATTTATAAGAACCCAAAAAGTTTAAAGCTTGGGTTTTGGGGAACTAAGAAACCCCTAAACCCCTAAACCCCAAACCATAAACCCTAATAGACCCTAATAACCCCTTATAAACCCATTATAAGAACCACAAAAAGTTAACAGGTTGGGTATTGGGGAACTAAGTAGCCCAGGGGCGGTCAGCAGCTTCTCTGCCACAGCATGGCCAGAAGTTGCGAACCTGTCCTGCTTGGTTCAGGCTTTGGTTGAGGGACTGGGTCCCTTTTGAGGGTTCCCTTTTAAAGGGATTCTATAAGGGGTTCTGCAAGGTTCTAAAGGGTTTAGGGGCTTAAGGGTTCATGTACCCGAATCGTACATATTTTGCTCAGGCTCTTGGAGCTGTGTAACTAGGTTGCCCAGTAGCCCCATAATAATAAGGGTGCCCTTTTTCCTAGTATTCAGTTTTAATAAGGGGAGCTTAAAAAAGGAACAACGGGTACTGTTGAGGAACCTAGTACTGTAAGGGTTCTGTAAGGGGTCCTTGAAGGGCTTTAATAGGGCTTAGGGTTTAATTGCCTCATGGTATTCATCGAAACGTTGGGGTACTTGTTAACCAGTTATTTTATAGACATATAAGTACCATAACCCCAATTTGGATCCCTGTTAGGGCACCTAATAACTCTACTTACTATCTACTTACTATGTCTCCCGACCCTCCAAGTACGCTAAACCCCAAACCCCAAAACCCCAAAACCCTAAACCCTAAAACCCTAAAACCCTAAACCCTAAACCCTAAAACCCTAAACCCTAAACCCTAAAACCCTAAACCCGTAGCGCAAGCATGACTTAGTACGCTCGTGGCTCGATGAGCTCCGAGCTTGGAGGGGCGTTCTTGGAATCGGGTCGGTAGGTCGGTAGTAGTAGCAGTAGTAGTAGTAGTAGTGGTAGTAGTAGTAGTAGTAGTAGTAGTAGCAGTAGCAGTAGTAGTAGGGGCCTTCATAACTGGATTAGTTAGGGCCCATGATACTATAACTAAAGTAAGGACCCCCCCCAAATTAGACCCTCAACCCTAAATTCTAAACCTAAACCCTAAACCCGAACCCCCCACGCCTTAAAACCCCAAACCCTAAAACCCTAAGGGTTTTAAGGTTTAGGGCTTCAGGGCTGTAGGGTTCAGGCTTTTGGGGTTTCAGGGTTTAGGGCTTCAGGGCTGTAGGGTTCAGGGGGTGGAGGGCCTCTCTACTGGCCAGTTTCTTGGAAACCTGAGACAAGATCTGCCGTACTTCAAGGCTCAAGGGACTTAGTAAGTAACTTCCGAGAAGGTTATGTTTTGGATACTCCACAAAGGGAGTCTATAACCGCAGTTATAACTTGCCGACTCCCCTGAGCCCTTAATGTGCCGTACAGGAAGGTTCTATAACGACCATTCGGTATAGGGGCGGCTCGTCATAAAGGGATACTTTGACTAGTCTTTAGATTATAAACCCTAAACCCTAAAACCCCGAGTGAATTGATTTGAACAGTGAGCCAATACATCTTAGATCCGTAATCCTAAATCCTAAAGAAGGGACCCCTAATGCAACTACCCTATATAACCCTTATGTACCCCTTATATAGTCTCATACCATTGAGCTTAAGTCCGTATTGCTGAAGTGTACGAAGGAGAGCAATGGCTTGTGCGGTGAAGGTGTTAATGTCCTCCATACTCCTGACGACCCAGTGGCCCAAAGTATCATCCTATTTCTTGCAGGTCCTGCAAGAGCTGAACCGCGAGAATCGACCATAGGGCCGGGGCAAGTCGACACCCTTGGCGGATTCCTATGGTAGTGAGAATGTCCGATGTCTGACCACCTGAGGATACCAGGTACTTGGCAGTAGAGTGCAGTTCAATGACTGCCGCCGCGACCTCAGCTGTGGCTCCTGCCTTGTAGAGGCTGCGCTCCAGCATCCTGCGATTGACCGTATCAAACGCTATATAACCCCAAGGGTCCCTTTAAGGGTCCTGCTTTAGGCCCTTGGAAGCTCTAAACCCAGAGCTTTAAGCCCCTAACTCCTTCACCCGGTCTCTATTCTGCGAGCCCCCGAGAAAGCCCTAAACCCTAAATCCTTACCGCAAACTCTTCTGCTTTCAAAGATGCTTAGAATTGCAACTCGAAACCATAAACCGACCTTAAACGTACTTCTCAAGAAGCCCCTAGAAAGTTGCAATTTTTGTGCTTTCCTATTGTTCAGGTTTGAAGGGAAGACCGAAAGACAACATGAAGGGAACCCAAGATCAAATCCAATAAAACCCTTTATACAAGTTATATGCCCGCACAAATAAAGCACCTAAACAACTCTTGTAAAAGAAGCCTTCCACTACAATAAAACCGCTAAAGCACCACACACTAAAACCCAAAAGCCCTAAACCATAAAACGTATACCTTTGGACCTTAAACCTAAACCCGGAACCCCGAAACCACTAAACACCAGAACCTCATAAACCTACTTGGCGGGTCGGGGAACTTAGTAACTAGTTATTTTATGGACTTATAAGTATCCTAACCCGATTTAGGATCCGTTCTAGGTTCCTTATAACTCTGCTTAAGATCTACTTACTCAGTCCCCCGACCTTCCAAGTAAGCAAACTGTAAACCCTAAAACTAGTACCCTTGCACCTTAAACCTAATCCCGGAACCCCGAAACCCCCAAACTCCAAAACCTCAGAAAAACTCGAAGCAAACTCAGAAAAACTAAACCCTAAACCCTAAACCCTAAACCGACTCAAAAAACCTAAGCCCTTGTTGAACCCTTAAAGGAACCAATCCTCAAAAACAACTAAAGGTTTCGCTTTCGGTCGCCTCCAGACTTCTCAGCTCGGCTGGTTTGGCTCGCAGGGTCCTGAGGGTTGCTGTCGCTCTTAGCATCCGCGGTCCTCTAAAGGCTTCCCTTAAGGTTTAGGTGTTCTTTAAAGGCTTCCCCTTAAGGTTTAGGGTTTAGGGCCTTTAAAGGCTTCCCCTTGAGGTTTAGGGTTTAGGGTTTAGGGCTTAGCATCCGGGGTCCTTTAAAGGCTTCCCCTTAAGGTTTAGGGTTTAGGGGGGACTCAGTAAGTAGATATAAGCAGAGTTGTAGGTACCCGGAAAGGGATCCTAATTGGGGCTTTGATGAATAGAAGCCTATAAACTAACTACTTATTAAGTCACCCGACACTTCAAGTAGGGGTTGTCTAAAGGGTTTTATTAGGGTTGCTATAAGGGACATTGTGGGTTTTGGGGTTTGGGGTTCAGGTTTTCGGGTTTAGGGCTTTAAGGTTGAGGGTTTTCTGGTGCTTTTAAAGGTTCTGTTGAGGGTCCTATACGGGTTTCTACAATAAGAGGTCTATAGGGTTTAAGTATAGGGGCCTTTGTAAGTAGAATCGGGCGTTGGGGTATAATATGCCATAATCTTAGTAAGCAATCCCAAAGAGTTATATTGGCAATTCTTCAGGACCAGACCTTATATTTTCTTAGCAGTAAGGGGTTCCTATGGGTTTAAGGCTTCGCCGTTCTTAGTGTTTCGGGTGTTGGGCAAACTGCAGCCTGCAAGTTAGGGTCTAGGGCTTAGGGTTACCACAGAATAAGCCAGGTTTTCCTGATCCAGGCCACAATCGTAAACCCTAAACCCTAAACCCCTAAACCCTAAACCCTCAAGAGAATGATAAATAGAAATTGCTTGTCTTTGTTGGAAACCGTAGCAACGGCACAACACCAGCAGTTCAAGCAGCACTGACAACAATAACGACGGGTCGAGCTCTCTGCATGCATAACAGACCGCCATTCAATCAGACCCACATCTACACGAGAGATCGTACCGAACCTGTGAAGTGGCTGGCCCTCCACGGTCCAGGTCAGCACACTGAGTTTGAACTCCTGGGGGCTGCCGTTGTGAATATCCTCCCAGGGCCAAGGAACCGAACAAGAGCCAGGAGCCAACTCGCCGCACTTACGATCACACCGCAGGCAATCCTTCTTGACAGACCCTTGCAGCACTCCTCGGGCCTACGAACGAGCACTCCAACACCAAAACTGGTCCAACAATCTCCTACACGAAGCACACACACACACAAGCTGAACGACTCCCAGTCCACATCTCGGCCTATCGACCGTGAGAGACAACCGTCTTGAAGCATCGCTTCCCCATGACCTGACCGTTTGCATAGGGGAAACCACTCCACGATTGTCGAGCCTGGCTGAGGCACGAAAACTTCTAATTGCCGTTCGAGGCCCGGGCGAGCTGGATGCGGAATCCAACTCTACAGCCGAACAGTCAAGAGCGTGAGCATCAAGTAAGTAAGTTAGCAACGAGGAAATACACAGCCTGCAATTGCGTTATCTCCGCCAACCGAGCTGCAAAGATCCTTGCATTAAGACAGTCACACTTGAGATACCATCGCAGCAAACCAAACACGTTCATTGACCAGTGCTAGAACCGTCCTGCAGGACATAGCCAGATGTGAACTTTTCCAGGCTGGCGCTGTCCTGGCAGTTTCAGCAGGTCTCGAAGCGCTGCTCGGCAACAGGACACCATCAGCAGTCCTTGGACACGACGATGACAGGAATGGGCTCAAAAGAAGGAACCATTGCGAATGGATGGCGGTCAGAAACAAGAGCATTTCACTTCGGCAATGCCAACAGCTGCATGCAAGCAATCACAATTCTTACCAAGACACTCTAAAAGCTGTCTCGAGAGGCTTTCCGAAAGCCCTTTGTACGGGGTTCTGAACTCGTTTGGAAATCAGACGCTCTCTCCAGAATTAGAGACCTAACACAAATTGGAATTGCACATCTCTTGTAGACCATAGCTCCTCCCGATTGGGGCCAGACGGATGGCCAGCAGACCGGGACCCGTTT